ACCCCCAGACCTTTACCACTCTATTGTCTGTGTGCATGTGAATATGCATACAAGGTCTTTGGATGATCTCTTCCCACCTACCCACCCATCCTCCCCTTCCCTCTGAGATTCCACAGTCTGTCTTTGCTTGAGGATATTTTTTAAAATAGATTTTAGAGAGAGAGGAAGGGCAGGGAGAGAAAGAAGCATGACCTGTATGCCCCGACCAGGAGGGAACCCACCACCTAGGTATGTGCCCTGACCCAGGAATTGAACCCACAACCTTTTTGGTGTATGGGACAATGCTCCAACCAACTGAGCCACCTGGCTGGGCTAGAATACTTTTTATTGAGTGTCCAGTACTCCATTTCTAAGACCAAACATGGCATTCCAGAAGAGTTTCCTGATTCTCTTTCTGAACAAAGCATACTTTTTTTTTTTATTAAGGTTTTACATATGTGTCTTCCAACCCTCCCCTGCCTTCCCTCTGAGGAAAGCATCTGATCGATGCTTCTCTGTCTCTGGGTCTGTTTTTGTTCATCAGTGTATTTTCATTATAATCCACAAATGAGTGAGATCATGTGATATTTATCTTTCTCTGACTGACTTATTGATTGGCTGCCTCCTGCACATCCTCTACTGGGGATCAAGCCTGCAACCCAGGCATGTGCCGTTGTCCAGAATCGAACCCAGGACCCTTCAGTCCACAGGCTGACGCTCTATCCACTGAGCTAAACCAGCTAGGGCGAGATCCTTCTTTTTTACAGCAGTGTAGTATTCCATTGTGTAGATGTACCACAGTTTTATAATCCACTCATCTACTGATGGGCACTTAGGCTTTTTCCAAATCTTAGCTATTCTAAATTGTGCTGCTATGAACATAGGGATGCGTATATCCTTTCTGATTGGTGTTTCTAGTTTCTTGGGATATATTCCTAGAAGTGGGATCACTGGGTCAAATGGGAGTTCCATTTTTAGTTTTTTGAGGAAACTGCATACTGTTCTCCACAGTTGCTGCACCAGTCTGCATTCCCACCAGCAATGCATGAGGGTTCCTTTTTCTCTGCACCCTCGCCAACACTTGTCATTTGTTGATTTGTTGATGATAGCCATTCTGACAGGTGTGAGATGGTACTGCATTGTCGTTTTGATTTGCACAAAGCATATTCTTTAAAGGAAATGAATCAAGTCTGATAGACATTTTTGCAACTCTTTACTTCATAACGTAAATATATATAAGAAGAATGAGGAATTAAATTAATAGAATTGTAGAATTTTATTTCATTTATAAGTGACCAAATAAGCAAAGAGTGGTCACACGCTTAGTGACAGAACTAAGACTCCATCTATTCTGGAATCTCCTTTTATGGCCACAGGTAAACTGAGGAAATGAATAGTTGCAATTGAAAAAAAACAAAACACTTGAAAATACTTAGCCTCAGTTGTATCATTTGACAGTTCAGCCATTGTCTTTATGAGGTTTGGGCTACTAATATGTCTCTCTGCTGTCATGTCAGGTCTTACTTTGGTGTCTGCTCCCCATTTGGCACGGTCTTACCATCATTTATTTCCTTTGGATGCTTTTCAAGAAGTTCCCCTAGAAGAACATAATGGCGAAAGGTATATGCATTTTGATTAATTTATGTTATAAGAGGTAATGTTTGAACACATTGTGACTACATTTTAGTTATATTAACCTGGGCAAAATTATTTCTTACTTTAAAAAACAAGATATATAATGCCTTGGTTATGACTGAAATGACTCATTAAATAGATCTGGATCTTCAGAAATCTATTAGTTTCCCTAAACCCATCTATGTGGTATACTAGTAGACCAGCTCTCCAAAAATAAAAAAATAATAAAAGCCCTGATTTTTAGCATTTGCTAATTTCCATGGTGTAAAACTGGAGAATTTATCCAGAAGGTTTAATGTCAGAATAATATGAAAATAAAGAAAAGATCAAATGAAGAGAAGAGAAATACTTCAAGGGCATTTTCTACTATTAATGAACAAAACTTTCTGGATTGAAAGGACTATTGAAGGAAAACACCCACACTAAAGTATATAATTGTGAAATTTCAGCATATGAAGCAAAATCTAAACATTTCTGGAAAAGAAAAATTAGGTCACATAATCTGGAATTAAAAGTATTTGGCTTCTCATCAGTAACACTGGATACTGACAAGGAACAATTTCTTTCAAAATTTATAGTGAAAACTATTACCAACCTAAGTTATATACCCAGTCAAGATATCAATTAAATGTAGGTAGGTAGAATAAAGGCATTTTCAGACTTGTAAGGTCTCAAAAGAGATTTTCTGAGGTAGTTGTAGAAGAGATGCTTCAAAGGAACTGGGAATGAATGAAAGAGAATAGGAATATCTATCTAATTCAAAATTGGCTAAGGAAAAACCTACAATGATGATAAATGGAAACCCCAGAATGTCTCTTGTATGTCGTGTGGAGATTGATCATTCCAGTTTGGAGAAGGTCAAAATGTTCCAGGAGAAATGTCACCAAGAGGACAAAAGCTATATAATTCCTGATGTGGTTGCACATAATGAGAGGATCTTTAGAATTCTCAGGGAAAGGTTGGGGCTGAGGTAATGGTAATTCCATAGAAAACTAAGCTTATGGATGGCTATAATAATTAGGAAAAAAATGTTTAAAATGATTTTTTAAATATGTTTTTATTGATTTTAGAGAGAGAAGGGAGAGAGAGAAACATCGATCCGCTGCCTCCTGCACGCCCCCTACCAGGGATTGAGCCCATAACCCAGGATGTGCCCTGACCAGGAATGGAAGCAGCGATCTCTTGGTGCCTGGGATCATGCTCAACTAACTGAACCACACTGGTTAGGGCGAGGAAAAAATGTTTCAAAGAGAGAAAAGTTATATTACATGTCTCAACTGAATGTTTATATAGTTATAATATACTAAATATTTAATATTGTTCTACCTAAGATGATTTAATTATATAGAATTGAGAATGACGTTAGTTATACATGTACATACTATTGGTTCAAGAGGGTAAAAGAGAATTAAATGCTCATCTTCCGTAGTAAGAGATTCATAGCTAATGCCTATGAAAAAACCAAGAGATAGCACTATATGCATAGATAACTATTAGACAAAAGTTTTGAAGGTGTTTGCTCTGGGGAGCTGGAAATGAAGTGTCGGGTGGATAGGTAGGCAACTGTTATTTTTTTGTAATAAGTTTTGAGAATTATTAACTCTAAATCGTTCCTTGAAAATTAAGCCTATAAGCATCTATTATAGGTAATAAATTAACTTGTACCAGCTGTCTATATCTTTGGGAGGGGTGAAAAATAGTCACTTAGATCATTTTCTGTAGGGTTTAATTCCCTTGTACAATCCCAATTGAGAAAGCATCTCATGTTTAACCTTGATGAGAATAAAAGTACTTTTTCTTTTTGCTGTTTTTAAAGTATCACATTTATTGCTTAGATGATTTGGTACAGAACAGCTTTTCTTCTCATTTTGAATTTGGAAATACTATACAGATGAATACAAAGAGGAACGAAAGTACCAAAACCGAACTTATGGTTCTCTTCACGTGGCATAAACCACTTTTATAGATAATATGTTGCAGTAGTTTATAAGTTCCCTTTAGAAAACATGAAATCTATACATTTATATTGCCTCCTGTTTAATGCATGGGCTGAAATCACTAGGATCAACTTCCTTCTTAAAGAAAAGTAAATTTTTTTTGAAGTATGATTTTGGGCTGACTGTTAGATGACTGAATTTACCATGGAATTTTTAAAATTACTGGTATTCTTAACTCTTTCTCTTAAAAGTCATGTATAAATAAATTGTAAGATTACTTATTAATTAAAGTATTTTGTTAATGAGCTTTTGCTGAACTATTTTAATGAGTTAATTCTAAACAAAATGATTCTTAAACTTTTTCAGATTTTGTTATGGATGTCAGGGGGAATTGAAAGACCAACATGTAAGTTTATGTACTTTCTAAATATTAAATATTGTACAAGAAATATTATAAGTTTTCGGTAGATTATTGAAGAGCAAACTCCTATCAGGATATTCCTCAGAAGTATAATAATAGGTAGAGATAAAATGGAGCACAATAGTTTAAACATTTATTTGTCATTCTGCATTCTAATTTTGCTACAAAGATATTTTAGTACTTTAAACTGTCTTCAGTTTGCAAGCTAAACTGCATTTAGTTTGGAAATAGTAAATATTTTTTCTCTGTATTGTGCTTTAAGTGCTGTCATAAGACATTTTGAAGTGAAGTTACCACTTAAGATGGCCACAGATCAAAGGTTATTCCCCCATTTGGCCAATAAGAAAATATTTTAAAATTTTTTGAAAGGGGCCAATTTGAATGTATAAACTTATATAAAGACACAAGTAAGATAGATAATTGTCTAGTTTTAATTTTTTATTAATTTACTTGTTCATATTTAAAACTATGCTATATATAGATATAGATATAGATATAGATATAGATATAGATATAGATATAGATATATATAAAGGCTAACATGATTGCGCGCTATGACATTCGCTGACCACCAGGGGGCAGCTTGGAATGAAGGCCCCGATCAGCCCTGATCACCGGCCAGGCCTAGGGACCCTCCTCGTGCACAAATTGCGTGCACCGGGCATCTAGTAAACTATATAAAATGTTAGTGGGAACGATTGCTTGTTTATTCTACTGTCACATTTCATCAAACAATTTTATTACGTTTTACATTCCTCTTTGATGTCAGTAGCTTCATCCTCACTGGAATCTCTTTTTGAATTATTTGACAGTTTTTTTGTTTGTTTTGAAATCAAGAAAAAGGGATAGGGGGAAATAGAAACATCAGTAATGAAGTCATTGATCAGCTGCCTCTGGCAAGCCCCCTACTGGGTTTTGAGCCTAACCTGGGCATGTGCCCTTGACTGGAATTGAACCTGGGACCCTTCAATCCACAGGCCGATGCTCTACCCACTGTGCCAAACCAGCTAGGGCATATTTGACAGTTTTTATGCTGTTTAGGATTTAATGATTTTTGAATATGTGTATGATGCTGCTCTGGAAGTTTTACCCAGGCACAGATATCTAAATACTAATTAATACTAATAGAATAATGAGTTTTTTCTTTTTATTTGTCTCACATGTGTCTTTTGCCAAATTCTTTAGGTGTTTAATTAAAAGGGTAATGTAACTTTTGCAATTGTGAGGTCATTACCAAAGGAATAACTAAATCTGTGTTATATTGTGGTGCTTCTCCTTTTTAAAAAATTTTAATTAATTTTACTTTATTTTTTCATCACCATTTATCCCCCATACCCTCTTCCACCTCCACACCTCCACCCCCATAGTGCTTCTCTTTTTAATTGAACCAATCAGATGACCTCTCTAAGCATTCAAAACTAGTGCTAATTTCAAGCTTGTGTCTTCCCCAGATAGTTACTTAAAATGAAATAATCGAGAGTGTCCCATAATAGAAGGAACTTTAAGACTCAAAGACAAAGTTATTTCTTCATTTCTAAGGAATTTTTTTGGAAAAAAATAATCACCTTAGATTTGAGAACATATAGTACATTGGAAGTAGTAATGTAGGTGGGGAAAAATTGATAAGAGCTATAAAAGAGCAAGGCACTTTTAGTGTCTTCTAGGAATGCTCTGCTTAACGTTTAGAAACTGCTTTTTAAATTTACTTTTCTTCTTTTCACTGCAGGTCTATCATTGCACTGTGTGCCAAAATGTTTTCTGTGTGGACTGTGATGTTTTTGTTCATGACTCTCTCCACTGTTGTCCTGGCTGTATTCATAATATTCCAACTCCTTCAGGTATTTGATTCCAGCATATAGTACACATTATATGTGTTAAAAAGAAACTTGAAACTGTAAATAAAATGATTCTTTAGAAGAAGCTCCAATTAAAACATGAAAAGCAGTTCAAAAGGAAAATCTGACTTAAGAAACTTTTTTGCTAAAAAAATGTAATATTTTATTATATTTTAAAATTTGTGTCCTGCCACAGCAATCTCTAGAATTCAATAGTAGTTCTTTTAGTTAATTTTGTTTTCTATTATTTTTAAGTCATAATGTTTTCTTTTTTTAAAAATAATTATTTATTGTCGAAAATATTACATATGTCACCTTTCCCCCATTGAGTTACATTATTATATTTATAATTTTCAGTGATTTAGTTTTATTGATTTTTAGTATAAAAAGAAATTAAGTATAAGTGTTAATTCAATGTAGGATAAAATTAATCAATGGTTATGAAATTAATGCCTACTGATATATTTGGGTTTAAATCTCTCATCTCACTTTATGTTATACTATTCCATCTTTATTTTTCTCTTCTTTCTTGCCTTTTTTGGATTGATTCTTTTATACTATTCTAGGTTTTTCTTCAACTAGCTTGGAAATTACATACTTTATTTTTATTCTTTTAGTGGTTACCCTAGAAATTACAGTTCGCATAATTTATTAACTTGGGTCCTCTGGGGGTGGTTGGGTGGGAAGAGATTAACCAAAGAACTTATATGCATATATGCATAACCCATGGACACAGACAATAGTGTAGTGAAGGCCTGGGGTTGGGGGTAGATGTGGGCTAGAAGAGGTCAATGGGGAAAAAATGGGACATCTGTAATACTTTCAACAATAAAGATAATTTTTTTTTTAAGTAGAACCTGAGGCAAAGATGAAAGTATTGTTCCTTTATTTGGGAGGTTCTGGAAAGTGAGGGTAGGAATGAGGTTGAGGTCATGTCGATTTCCAGTCAAAGCCACCTACCTGTGCTTGTACGTGCATGAGGCAACCAGTTGATGTGTCCTTCTTGTATCAATGTTCTCTCTCTATCTCCCTCTTCCTCTCCCTCCCTCCATTCCACTCTCTCTAAAAATCAATGAAAAAATATCCTTGGGTGAGGATAAATAAAATTGATTGTGATGATGATTGTTCAATTCTGTGAACATGCTAAAAACCATTGAACTATACACTTCAAATGGGTGAATTGTGTGGTACGTAAAGTATCTCTATATATAAAAGGCTAAGTGACCAAACGTCCATCTGTCCGACCGGCCGCTACATATGACACACGCTGGCTTGACTTGTGCATGCGCGATACATACAAAGCTCCACTGGTGCCAATTGCACGCATGTGTTTCGATCTGTAACTGTTGATCGTGAATTTTGTTGTTTTTGTTGACATTCTGAAGCTGAAAGAAAGGCATCTTTGATAGAATATGTCTGAAGAGCAACTATTGGCACAACGTACCTCTGAAGCTGGCTAAGTATTGTAGTGTTTGGAGATGTTTCAGACAGTTGTCTCTTAAAGGAACATGAGCCGAAACCGGTTTGGCTCAGTGGATAGAGCGTCGGCCTGCGGACTCAAGGGTCCCAGGTTCGGTTCCGGTCAGGGGCATGTGCCTGGGTTGCAGGCACATCCCCAGTGGGAGATGTGCAGGAGGCGGCTGGTCGATGTTTCTCTCTCATCGATGTTTCTAGCTCTCTATCTCTCTCCCTTCCTCTCTGTAAAAAATCAATAAAATATATTTTTAAAAAAAAAGGAACATGAGATCAGAGGATTTTGCTTATAGCAAATGGTTAGTAAAACTTGGAGATGGCAAACTTGAGAGCAGTTTTCATTTAGGAACTAGAGGCCTGGTGCACGACATTTGTGCACTTGGTGGTGGGGGGTGTCCCTCAGCCTGGCCTGTGCCCTCTCGCAATCCGGGACACCTCGGGGGATGTCCGACTGATGCGGAGGTGGGAGAGGCTTCCGCTACCGTCACTGCACTCACCAGCCGTGAGCCTGGCTTCTGGTGGTCAGTGCGCATCATAGTGGCCTGTCGTTCTGCCATTCGGTCAATTTGCATATTAGCTTTTTATTATATAGGATGGATATTAGTGAAATCTCCCGTGAAATGATTTGTAATGCATCTATTACTGAAGCTACCCTTGGAAATAGTATATCTATAGATAGTACTAAAAATATATCTAAACGTGCGATTTTTTTGTCCTAAAAATGAGCACGTTCATAAATTAAATGAAGGAATTTTGGATATACTTGATGGAGATTTTCACACCTGTTTGAGTGATGATTCCATTGATTCAACAGATGATGCCGAAAAGGAAAATATTCCCATCGAATTTCTTAATAGTATTACTCCTTTGGGAATGCCGTGTTATAAATTAAAATTGAAAGTAGGTGCAGTCATCATGCTACTGAGAAATCTTAATAGTAAATGGGGTCTTTATAATGGTACTAGATTTATTATCAAAAGATTGCGACCTAACATTATTGAAGTTGAAGTATTAACAGGATCTGCGGAAGGGGAGGTTGTTCTGATTCCAAGAATTGATTTGTCCCCGTCTGACACTGGCCTCCCATTTAAATTAATTCGAATACAGTTTCCTGTGATGCCAGCATTTGTGATGACTATTAATAAATCACAAGGACAAACTCTAGACAGAGTAGGAATATTCCTACTGAATCCGTTTTTGGACATAGTTATATGTTGCTTCCTCTCAAGTTCGAAGAGCATGTGATGTTAAAGTTGTAAATACTTCTTCATCACAAAATTAGTCAAGCACTCTGAAAGTGTTTTTACTCTTAATGTGGTATACAGAGAGATATTAGAATAAGTTTCATCAATTTATCAGTCATGGTTTTTATCAATATTGTTTTTATATTATGTTTTTGTTTTTATATCATGTTTTTGTTGTTATATCATGTTATTTTTATTATTAATTTATATATTATTTTCATATACATTTTACTAATTTTCTTTCATCTCTGACACTTCTATTATAGAGAAAGAGTGAATAGCGATATTAAAATATTTCTTCTAATTAATTTCCTTTCAATGTGCACGAATCCGTGCACCAGGCCACTAGTATCTCAATAAATCTGTCTTAAAAGTGAAACACTGGGAGAATACAAAGGGGTAGGGTGTAGAGGAGTAGGTGAATGCAGGGCTGAGAGAGAATTATTTTTTTATCATTTTAAAATAGTTTTAATTTTTGAGACATGTAAACAAAGTATTCAAAAATAATAACATTGCCCTAGCTGGTTTGGCTCAGTGAATAGAGCATCGGCCTGTGAACTGAAGGGTCCCAGGTTCGATCCCAGTCAAGCACACATGCCTGGGTTGCGGGCTCAATCCCCAGTGGGGGATGTGCAGGAGGCAGCTGATCCATGATTCTCTCTCATCATCGATGTTTCCATCTCTCTCTTCTTCTCCCTTCCTCTCTGAAGTCAATAAAAATATATTTTAAAAAAATTATGGAATCTTGGGAAGTTATGGTGAAGCAAATGCAAATAATGTTTTAGCTAATGTTAGCTCTTAGTTGAGGGCCTGAATAATAACACAAAAGCAATCCTGTTCATCAAATAATGCAGTAGTAATGGAGTTGGAGGTTGGAGGGAAACTGCAATCAAATTTCTTTTTCATTTATTTGGGTCATGGTTCAAGTGATACATTTTCCACCTATATGTGGCAATACGTGCACTGTTTCTATTTTGTTGTGACTCTTGCCCTTGAAAATAACTATATATATACAAAACAAAGATGGCAGTACTATTTGAAGATTTAGATTAAAAATGTGAGTCTTGTATTTAAGGACCACGGGTGACCCACTATATACTGAAGGCATGTCACAATCAAAATACTAACATATTTCAAAACTGAGGGGACAGCAGGACTTCTTCTCATAATGACAGTAGGAAAGAAGAACCATAGACATTTTGTAAGTTTTCTCAATGCTTTGTAACTTCCTCATGTTCCATCTGTGTTCAGCTGTCTGTATCACTGTAATGATTGGCAAACTCATAACATGACATGATTTCGAGTGGTGAGAAAGAAAGGGCACAGCCAGTCCTTGGGAAGTGGGGTGGTAGAAATGCAGGCCTTTCGTGGGTGGCAGAATTTAGGAGAAAGGGCAAGAAGTTTGAGTCTGTGGGGCCTATTCTGTTCTGGGGAAACCTATTACAAGGTGGACTGGGGCTCTGATGGGGTCCTTATGGGATTTAAATTCGTGATTTCACCTGACTGAATTGCTATTTGAGTCACACCTCAGGCCAGGGCCCTGAAAATAATACACAGTTCGTTCAAACCTGTACATCTCTATCTATCTGATAGTAACCTACGTAGTAGGATATAGAGTATAGACCAGCCGTGGGCAAACTACGGCCCACGGGCCGGATTCGGCCCGTTTGAAATGAATAAAACTAAAAAAAAAAAAAAGACCGTACCCTTTTATGTAATGATGTTTACTTTGAATTTATATTAGTTCACACAAACACTCCATCCATGCTTTTGTTCCGGCCCTCGGGTCCAGTTTAAGAACCCATTGTGGCCCTCGAGTCAAAAAGTTTGCTCACCCCTGGTATAGACACTAAAAAGAGGACATAAACCCTAACCTCATGGAGCTGTGAATCTCCCAGCCTAGAAGGGAGACCTATAAAGAAGTCACTGTGAAAGCGCAAATAGTCTGCCAAGGGCTTCGGGAATGCAGAAGAGGTGCTGTAAATGGGCTGGGATGCAAACCCCGTGCCTACAGAGGCCAGGCAGATAATGCAAGTGAGTGGAAAGGGGCCAGGTTGCTGCCAAGTGGTGGCATCTGGAAGCACTTGTTCCATCTAAAAGAGGCAGCCTCTGGATGCTGGGCTCAGGGATAGAAGAAAGACGCCGTTTTCACTATACATCTTTCTGTACCTTTTGAGTTTTATGCATGTGCATTTTTTACCTAGTTTTTTTAAGAAAGTTTTATTAGAGGAGGTAACCATTACTTGGCCCCCACCTTTTTTTTTTTTTTTCCCCTGGGAATGTCAGTCCCCTGGTGCCATGTATTTTGATAAGAGAAACTGAAAAACTGGATTTTTAAGTGAATCCTCCTAAATTTTAAACATTGGTGTTTAACTTTTAAAAACCGAACAGGCTAAATAAAACTTATCACAGGACACCAGTTTACAAACTTTGGCCCCGCCTATATCTTCTCTATTCCTTATCAGGGTAGATCATCTTAATTTTCAGGAATCAGGCTTTCCTGGGATAGATCCCTCTTAGGGGATAATTCAGTTTAGATGTTCAGTATTAAGAATTGACTAGACATGCCCTGATCGGTTTGGCTCAGTGGATAGAGCATCGGCCTGCAGACTGAAAGGTCTCAGGTTCGATTCCGGTCAAGGGCATGTACCTGGGTTGCCATGCCTAGGTTGTGGGCTCAATCCCCAGTGTGGGGCATTCAGGAGGCAGCCAATCAATGATTCACTGTCATCACTGATGTTTCTATCTCTCTCTCTTTTCCTCTCTGAGATCAATAAAAATATATTTAAAAATAAAAAGAGCAGAAGCCACTTTGTTCCCTGCCCTGTATTGACTAGCAATACTTGCACATTTACTCTCTTGGAAGCATGGATGGAACTGGAGAGCATTACGCTAAGTGAAATAAGCCAGTCGGAGGAAGATAAATATCACGTGATCTCACTCACTTGTGGAATATAATGAACAACATAAACTGATGAACAAAAATAGATCCAGAGACAGAGAAGCATTGAACAGACCATCAAACCTTAGAGGAAAGGCAGGGAGGAGGAAGGGTAAGAGATCGACCAAGGACTTGTATGTATGCATATACTAAATGTAACCAATGGACACAGACAGTAGGGGGGTGAGGGCATGTGCTGGGGGGTGGGAGTGGCCAGGGAGAGGTCAATGGGGAAAAAGGGAGAGATATGTAGTACTTTAATCAATAAAGAATAAATAAATAAATAAATAAAATAAAGAATTGACTAGAGGAAGAGGGTCTTTCAGGCTCTCTCTAATCAGTGATTCGAAGGTTGTATCTGGACTTGTAACATCAGCACCACCTGGGAAAAGTTAGAAATGCACATTCTTGGCCCTGTCAGACCTTTGGAATCAGAAATTCTGGGGGTGAGCCTATTAATCTGTGGTTTAACAAACCCCCCAGGTGATTGTGATAAACGCTGAAGTATGAAAACCACTGCCACTGCCTCTGTTATAGAGGTAGATAAGCCACTTAAAAACAGGATAAAAGAATTCTACTGAACTTAAAAAGAAAAAATTAACTCAGGTAACTACAGAAAACAAATCCACACATGGAATTGCTTTTTCATTTCTTTAGATTCTCTTTAAACTTTAGGGGATTTGTGTGTGTCCTTAGAATTTTTTAAAAATCAGTGACTTACAATAAAATGCTCCCATTTTAAGTGGATGGTTTTATGTCTTTTGGCAAATGTATACTAGTACATCCATGCAGTGACCTCCACAATTGAAAGAACATTTTCATCTGCCCACCTGGCCCCGTTTTGGTCAGTATTCTCCAGGACTTCCAGCACCAGGTGCTGCTGATCAGTTCCTGTCACTATAGATTAGGTTTGGCTGTTGTATAATTGCTTACAAATTGACCATGCAGCATGTGTGATTTCTTTTGTTTAGCATAATATTTTTGAGATTTGTCCATGTTATGTGTATTAATAGTTTGTTCTTTTTTACTGCATACTAATATTCCATTTAATGGATACATTATCATTTGTTTATTCCCAATGATCATTGCGGTGGTTTCTGGTTTTTTTGGTTGTTATGAATAAAGCTACTATGAACAATAATTTTTTGTGTTAGTATGTTTTCATCTTTCAGATGTAGGAATGGAATTGGTAGGTTGAATGGTAAATGTACATGATGCTGCCCAGCTGTTTTTCCATTGTGTTGCACCATTTTACACTCCCACAAGCTATGTATGTGTTTGCATATTTGTTTTTGGTTACCTAGTATTTTAGTTCCCTTCCTTTGGGGATTTCTTCCCCCCTTCCTGCCATATAGAAGTGATATTTGGATCTTTTTCCAGTTAAGGCTATGCAGGAGTTTTCAGTGTCACTAGGAGTAAAAAGAAAATGGATAAAGGATATCCACTAACAATCTACAACAAATATCATACTTATTGGTCAAACTTCAGAAAAATGTCTACCAAAGTCAAGAATAAAATAGGATATAAATTTACACAATGGAATATTACTCCGCCATAAAAAAAAAGAAGGAAATTTTACCCTTTGGGACAGCATGGATAGACCTAGAGAACATTATGCTCAATGAAATGTCAGTCAGAGGAAGACAAGTACCATATGGTTTCTCTGATGTGGAATCTAATGAACAAAATGAACTAACAAGCAAAATAGAGACAGATTCATAAATAAAGAGCAGGCTGATAGCTGTTGGGGGATGGTGGGGGGTTGAGCAAAAAAAGAAAAGAAAGGTAACTCATTGATATGGACAATAGTGTGGTGGTTGCAGGGGGTAGGGGGGAGGTGTAAGGGCATAGGGGAGGATAAATGGTGATGAAAAAAATAAACTTTAAAATAAGATAGGATATCTATTATCATCTTATTAAGTAACATTATATAAAAGGATAGCATCTCCCTAGCCAGTTTGGCTCCGTGGATAGTGCATCAGCCTGTAGACCCAAGGGCCCCAGGTTCGATTCTGGTCAAGGGCATGTACCTTGTTTGCAGGCTCCTCCCTGGTCTGGGCCCTGGTCAGGCTATTGCAGGAGGCAACCAATTGATGTGTTTCTCTCACATCAATGTTTCTCTCTGTCTTTCCCTCTCTCTTCCACTCCCTCTAAAAGATCAATGGAAAAATATCCTCAGGTGAGGATTAACAAAAAGATAAAAGGATAGCATCAATGCAATAAGACAAGAAAATGAAATGACTGTAAAAAACAAAACTAACATAATATTCAGATAATACAAATATCTACTTAGAAAATTTAAGAGGATTTCTAATCATTAAAAATCCTATACATTTAGAAAACAATAGTAAAATAAGGGCAACAAAATCTACAAGTTACAACATCAAATGTACTGCATTGGGCAGAGATGCACACAACATAGATGAAAAGTGAGGTTTATTGTCAGAAGGGTCAGCTGTGTGGAGAGGTTGCAACTGGATACACCATGGAAAGTGCTTCAAAAGAGGAAGGGAGAGGGAGAGAGAGAGAAACATTAATGATGAGAGAGAATCATTGATTGGCTGTCCCTGTAACATTATACATGTTAATACAAAAGTTAGGAGGGACCAGGGAACAGCTGGCCAACTTTTTAACAATAATTGCTGCTTGGCTGGGAAATTGGCCTTGTTGGACCAGCGCTTAGCCAGAGGAGATCACATGCCAGGCCTGCTGGTGAAAAAGCTTTGCTACCTGCTCAAATACCAAAATGAGGAGGGAATGAGCTTTCTGGGACACCTGGGGTTGCCTTTGTTTAAAATGTAGCCTTTACGGCAGCATCACATAGTGGTTAAGAGTGCAGACTCCGGAGCCAGACTGGTTCATCTGAACCCCTATCTGCCTAAGTTTCCTCGTCTGTAAAATGAAAATAACATGCCTGCTTTGTTACTGTTAAAGGGATTATATGTACATGTCTAAAGCACTTAGAACTGTGTCTAGCAAGTACTAGTCTCGTTTTAATTATTTTTTAAATATATTTTTATTGATTTCAGAGAGGAAGGGAGAGGGAGAGAGAGTTAGAAACATCAATGATGAGAGAGAATCATTGATTAGCTGCCTCCTGCACACCCCACACAGAGGATCAAGCCCGCAACCCAGGCATGTGCCCTTGACCGGAATCGAACCCGGAACCCTTCAGTCCACAGGCTGACGCTCTACCCACTGAGCCAAACAAGCTATTTGGTAAATCAGAGATAGAAAAAAGTAATTCCTAAAAGAAATGGGCTTAGGAAACAAGTTATAGAGGTAAAGGAAGGGCCCTGGGAACTTGGGAGTGAAGAAGGTAATGGTAACATGCCTGGGGCAGGGAGGGGAAAGAGAAAGGCATGGACAGACATGCTCCCCGGAGGGAGAGCGCCTTAGTTCTTATTTTTTATAATAATTACACAATATTGAAATTATTTTTAAAGTATAAACCCAGAAAAAATTAAGAAAGCGGGAGGGGACCATCAGCACATAGAATATTTTAACAAATTTTTGGAAGGTGGAAACTCAAATTGAATAGTAGTAACCAATGAAGTGGGCCAAAGGAAACCACAGCCTGAACACACATATCACCTGTGGGAGACTTCACCCTGAAGAGAATCCTGGAGCAGCGGGGGACTCCGAGTGCCAGGTATGCCAGGTAAGAAGGAGGGCAGGAATGACGGGAAGGGCTGAAAGTCGATGGACTAATTTAAAATCTGCATGGGACAGTTGGCTCCCTCCACCCCACCATCAGATTATTTGATAGGGTTTAAACCTGAGGCAAAAAATACTAGATGATTATCTTTAAAGAAACTGAATAAGCTGTTTCAGCTAACTTGAGCTAGTGTGGGCACTGGTACCCCCAGACAAGGAATCCTTCTAGAACTGGTCCTTTTCTGGTCAAGGAACGGGCCCAGTGTGCTTTCAGCTGCCAGCTCTGTCTGACAGGTGACTTGAAGTAGTTCCTCTGATTTAGAGCTTCTCCAGGGTAAACCCTGGCTCCCCAGTCTGGCCTCCAAGTAAAGGGCTTAGTTCAAATCACAATTATGTGGCTTTTAATTAGATTTTAACCGTAATTCTGACCAATCAGCTTTTCAATGGCCTACTTCCTAAACATAAATTGCAAACCGAGAATCAGTGTACATTTGAGGATGTCTGGAAATGTGAAAAATAAACAAATGTAAATGGTAATAGCCTTGGAGAAAACATAATTTAGGAAACTGATGAACTAAACCTTAGTATTGATAAAGTTAATTTATGAGGACCCGAAAAATGAAGGCCACCCCTGTGGCCTAGCCCAAGTCACAAATCTGAACCTCAGTCAGCCTGCACTTATGGGACACACCTGTCAGGGAAACCTAACATCCACCAATCACAATCCTCCAACTCGGCTTTAGCTAGTTTACCTTCCCCTAGGAAAACATACTGGTAAGCAAACCCCCACCCTCCTAGCCAACCCTGCCCTGTTTCCTGTTGCCTCTTCTCTATAAAACTCACTCTTGCCCTGAATCCCTGGAGAACAGTGTCCACTGCTTGTGAGGCACCCCTCCCCAATTCCGGGCTGTTTTCCCTTGAAACAGGACAGCAAACTCCTCATTAACCTTAGTTTTATCATCTGACAATATTGTAGGAGAGAGCCAGAAAGGTTGTGTTGGCTAAAAGTAATAAGATGTCATGAAAATAACGAACAAGAAAGAGCTGTGGGACATTAAAACTATAGTTGCTGAAATTAAGAATTACTATTGGAGAGTTGGAAGATACTGGAGAGGAAATTTCCCAGAAAATAGAGCAAAAGCACTAAGAATATAGCGGGGGGTGGGGGGGAGGGTTTAGATGATCAATTAAATCCCCACCTAAATCATGGGGATACCAGGAAGAGTGAAAAGAGAATAGCAGACAGTTGGAAATCATCAAAGAAAATTATAGAAAACAATGTCTTAGGGCTGATGGGCCACCCCCTTGTTCAGGGTGAAAGGGCCCATTGAGTGCCCAGAACAATGAATGTAGAAACACCCAAACCTATACACAACATTTTAGAATTTTATAACCCCAAGGATAAAAGAGAAAATCCTAAAATAAACCAGAGAGATAGAAACTGTCACCAGCAAAGAAATAAGATTTATACTAGCACTGTGAGCACTAACCAATCTTAACTGTTTAGAATAAAACACTTCCTGTTGTGGGACTTGGTAGGTGTTGTCATTGCTGCTGGGTCCTGACTGGCCCTTTTGACTTCATACTTAGAGCATTTATGGGTAATTTCTCAGTGAACTGCAATTTGTTTTCAGTTTTAGTTCCTCAAATATTTTCTCATTGCTTTCCATTAAAGGACCAACACAGCATTTGCACTCAGGCCGCCCATTCTCCTTCCACTGGACAGAGACTTTGGCTAAACCTCACGGTAAGTAAATTACCATTTCTGGCAAAGGTGCTTTTCTTCCACACCTGAAGTAACGGCACTCTTATTTCTCTTATTTTTGTTTCTCTGGAGGCAAGAGGACAGGCACTATAGCCACCCAGACTTGGGTTTAAATCCTAGATCCATGACATAGTTGCCTCAGCTGGTACTCTTTGCTCTTGTAGTCAAAGGACATGAAATCTGGAGAGGGTCTTGGAGATCTCTCGTCCCCAGAAATGGCCTCCTGATGAGCAAAATTGGCCATGAACCTAAAATTGATCCTAGCTGTTCTGTTGAAACCTGTGTTTATTTATCTCTGGGGAGGCCTGGAGCCACAGTGCTGTCTCTTGGCCAAATCTGCATGGAATGTACTAACTAGTGATTACTGTAGTCCTGTGCTGGGGTCTGAGACAGGCCAGAGGCACCCTACACCAGCTTTTCTGTTTTTGAGGCTGGTCATGTAGCCTAGTTTTGGCCACGTGACCAGAAGAGTAGAAAAGGGATTGTAGTTTCCCGAGACCAAGGTATCTCGCACAGACCTAGGTTGTCCATTCCCTGAAATGCAGCACAGCCTGTGCCGCTTAGGCCGCCTGGAACCGGACCTGGGATCTGAGCCCTCTCTGACGTTTGCCTGTTTTTTATTTTTATTTTTGTATCTTATCCTCTACCTGTATCAAAGTCTTATGTAAGTATACTACAAAGAGCCCAGTGAGTTTTTTGCAAGTACCCAAACCTGTAGACATGCTAAAGATAGCACTGCGAATGGGATCATTGAGACAGTCTTCTGCTTTATAACTTAAATAATGGCCAAGGCTTTGGTTGGCAGAAAGAAAAATGAAAAGTGGGCGAAAGATTTACAACCACTGATGGCAGGCTGGCTGCCGAGGAATCCCTGGTTTGAATTCATTCAAGTACTATGACTATTGATGGGAGGGAAGGCACAGCAATGGAATTTAAATGTGGTCAATCCAGAGCTGGAGGAAGTAGCTGGGTGAATTAAAACAGAAATTCAGATAGAGGGGAAGTCAGCTGAGAATGCCAGCTATCTCAGCTGGTTTTGGCTGCTTTGGCAAAAATGAAAGTAACTAAGAAAGGGCCTTAGCCTGCCAAGACCTAACTTTGGCTGGTTTCTCCTGTGAAGGGAAGAAGCATGAGGCCAAAGGAGAGATGTGCAAGTATTTCTTCTGTTCAGAATGAGACCTCGTCTGATAGATAATCACTAAGAGGCGCTGCAGGGAGAGGGCAGCAAGAGAACTTGAAACAAAGGAACTAATCAACCAAAAAGCGAAGTAACCCTGTGGACTGCTCTAGAGAGCTGCTCAGGAAACTGCTGGAACAGATTTAACTCATTACGGACCACTGAGTGCTTTTCCTTGCCTTAGTTACTGCAAAATGAAGGGCACGCTTGGCCTTCATCAAGACCTTCTGTTCACTGCCAATCAATGATTCTCTCTGATCATTGATGTTTCTATCTTTCTCTCCCTCTCCCTTCCTCTCTGAAATCAATTAAAAAATATATTAAAAAAGAAAGACCTTCTGTTCGCTGCCACTTTTGCAGAAATGTGGGTAGATGGGCAAATTGCAAATCAGCTTAGCAATTTGGACAAAGGCAGGGGGCACATAAAGCACCTTGTAAAGTGGAACCACCTGATTCCACCTGCAGGTGTTCCCTGGAATGCTCCTGAGGCTCCTGAAGTGTTGGGGATGCAAGCAAGCATCTTTGGATTGATGTAACCACACCAAGGAGTTCTCTATTTTATGCCTTTGATGTAAGTGACGACGATGCTGTGATAAGAGGGCCTCCAACCGCTTGGACGGAGCAGGTGACCTTACTGCTGGGAGGACAGGATGGAGTGAGGGGGGCTGTCGTTAACTTACTAGTGTCTTCCCTCCCCCTCGGGCTGAATGATGCACAGAGCAGTACTATTCAGAAGAAATGAAAAGTAAGAATAAAAGGGTTGCCGAACTGGTTTGGCTCAGTTGGATAGAGCGTCGGCCAGCGGACTGAAGGGTCCCAGGTTCGATTCCGGTCAAGGGCATGTGCCTTGGTTGCGGGCACATCCCCACTGGGGGGGCGTGCAGGAGGCAGCTGATCGATCTCTCTCGTCGATGTTTCTAGCTCTCTGTCCTTCTCCCTTCCTCTCTGTGAAGGATCAATAAAATATATTTTAAAAAAAAAGAATAAAAGGATTGAAGAAAATCTCAGAACTAGTCAAACAAGTGGAAATGTCTGCTAACCTGCTTTTCTTTCCCTTCTCAGAAAATGGCCTCACAGGAGGAGGCCGCTGACCAGAGGATTTCCCAGCATGACGAAACTGCCTTCCCTCAGCTGTCTGCTCTTCTAGGCATCGACATGGTTCAGTTTGTAAAGGAAATAGAAAAAAAGGAGCAGGAAGATCGAGAAAAAATGCAGAAGGGCTTTAACTCAGAAATGCGCAGTGAAGCAAAAAGGTTAAAGACTTTTGTGACCTATGACTCCTACAGCTCGTGGACACCACAGGAGATGGCAGCGGCTGGGTTTTATTTCACCGGCATAAAATCGGGGGTGCAGTGCTTCTGCTGTAGCTTAATCCTGTTTTGTACCACCCTCAAGCGTCTCCCCATAGAACACCATAAGAAGTTCAGCCCGCACTGTGAGTTCCTTTTGGGCAAAGATGTTGGCAACATTGCTAAGTATGACATAAGAGTTAAGAATCCAGAGAGCAAGATGAGAGGAGACAAAGCAAAGTACCAAGAAGAGAAGGCCAGACTTGAATCCTTCCACGATTGGCCATTTTATGCCCATGGGACATCCCCACGGGAGCTCTCAGCAGCTGGCTTTGTCTTTACAGGTAATTTGAAACAATTTTCTGAAGCATTTCTCCGGAGTTTTAAGTTTAGGTTCCATTTTTCAGTTGCCATATTTTGTGAACCTTTCCTCACTTGTTAAATGTATTAGGTATAAGGTCTAGTTTATTAAAATTCAACTTCAGTAATTTACTTGAGCTTTATGTTTCGTATCACATATTAATTTGTCAAATATGTACATAATTAGACAGTTACTTTTCCTTAAATTTGGACCTTAGACAATATTGACAACATTCTTAAGGTCCTTAAAATAAGCCATGAGGGCCCTAGCTGGTGTTGCTAGGTGGTAAGAGTGTCGGGCCACACACCGAAGGGTCTCAGGTGTAATTCCTGGTCAAGGGAACATACTTGGGTTGCAGGTTCAATCCTCGGCCACCTATATTGATGTTTCTCTCTTTCCCTCTCTCTTCCCCTCCCTCCCTCCCTCCTTCCCTTGTTCCTTCCCTCCCTCCCTCCTTCCTTCCTTTCTTCCCTCCCCCCTCCATCTCCTCACCTCTCTCCTTCCACTCTCTCTAAAAATCAATGCAAAATATATCCTCAGGTGAGGAATAACAAAAAATAAAATAAAATAAAATAAATCATGAGGTCAGCCGGACCCCAATCTCCTCCCCTTTTCCTTTTGCTGCTGCTATAAGATCTTCCTTTGATTCTTTTAATTGCTGCAATATTGGAATGGCTTTCTGTTTGTTGGTGGGTTGGTTTTAATCGTAGGGCTAATTCTAATGTATAGGGCAAACTGCATTTAAGAAAACTGCAGTTGAATTGACCTAGGCATGCTGTAAATGTTATGATGGGTGTGAATGCGAATTGTAATAACAATAACAGCAATCTTTTACTGAGTACCAACAAACTCACCAATTACCTCCATTTCACAGTTGAGTTCATTGAGGCTCAAAGAGTTTAAAAAATTCCTGTGTCCATAGAAATTTCATTGCAGAGCTACACCTTAGATTTTCTAACCGTGCTCTACGTTGTGAGTTCTTGGATTTCTCTGCTTCCCCACTACTGTGGCTCTGAGAGCTCAAATAGCAAATACCAGCTCTGGGAACACCTGGCGGGCAGGTGTTAAACAGGTGTATGTGCAGTATGGCCATGGCTGACAGGGAGGTCCTAGGCTTAAAAAATGGTCTTTTTGGGCCCTGGGGCTGTGGATGGAGATTCAGCCAGATGACAGTGTACGGCACAGAGATGTTGGAGTAAGTCTTCCTCACGCACAGAGAGGCAACTCCCAGAGACAGACCTTCTGGGACTACCCGTGGTGCCATTGCCGAACAATCTAAATATTTTCTTCACATGCAGGGAAACGCGACACTGTGCAGTGCTTTTCCTGTGGTGGATGTTTAGGAAATTGGGAGGAAGGAGATGATCCTTGGAAGGAGCATGCTAAGTGGTTCCCCAAGTAAGTAGATCTCTCTCTCTCTCTCTCTCTCTCTCTCTCTCTTTCTCTCTCCTCTGAAACAAAACTAAAGACAAGAGTCACCTTCCTAGAGAAGCATTTTCAGGTTTTTTCCCTACTCAAAACTGGAATGTTCCAGAATTTCTTCAAGCAAGAATCACATAATTTAAAAATAATTTCTTAAATGTTTTATCATCCAAAATATGAAGACACGTTTTGTCAAGTAGAAGTTTCAGGATCCACCCTAATTGATAAATAAGAATAATTCACATAGGGATGATGTAAAATGGCATTTAAAGGAAGTTGGAAAGTAAAACAATGTTTAAGACTATTACAAATGGTTTCATGTACTGCTGATTATATACCAAACAGAAACATTTTATTTTAAAAACTCAGAATTTTGATTGTTGCAATGCTCTTTAGTTCCCTGCTTAGAAAATAAAGTGTATTCTAATTATTTTTAATGCTATATTTACTAGTATTTCTACATCACTTTGTATCTAGCAAATACATATTCATTCCCTTTATAGTTTTTAAAACCTTTATTATGGAAAATTTCAAAGGTGGAGAGAATCTATAATAATAAAAGTATAATATGCAAATCAACTGAACGGCCAAACAGCGGAACGACCATCCAGATGACCTTCTGGACCAGTGGTTCTCAACCTTCCTAGTGCCGTGACCCTTTAATACAGTTCCTTATGTTGTGGTGACCCCCAATTTCATTGTTACAAATTGAACATAATTAAAGCATAGTGATTAATCACAAAAACAATATGTAATTATATATGTGTTTTCCGATGGTCTTAGGCGACCCCTGTGAAAGGGTCTGATTAATCACAAAAACAATATGTAATTATATATGTGTTTTCCGATGGTCTTAGGCGACCCCTATGAAAGGGTCGTTCGACCCCCAAAGGGGGGGTCGAGACCAGGATGAAGGTCTGGATGAAGTCGGGGCTGCGAGGGCCTACTCTTGCATGAATTTCGTGCATTGGGCCTCTAGTAGTATAATAAGCACTTACTAACACATGGCCAAGTAATATTCCATTCATCTTTCACCCACCTTTCTCCAGAAATAATAATAACCAGATTATATTAAAGTCATGTAATGCCATTTGTTGGTATTCTTATATTTTAGAGTTATATACTAAAATATCTCTAAGACATAAAACCACAGTATCATTATTTCTCCTAAACAAAATTAACATTGATTCCACAATACATATAATCAAATATCTGAGTCATTGTTCAATGTCCACATCCCTCCAACTCCTTTTCTCTCTTTACTGCTGGTTAATTTAAATCAGAATCCAAACAGTTGATATTCTTATATTTTAGAGTTATATACTAAAATATCTCTAAGACATAAAACCACAGTATCATTATTTCTCCTAAACAAAATTAACATTGATTCCACAATACATATAATCAAATATCTGAGTCATTGTTCAATGTCCACATCCCTCCAACTCCTTTTCTCTCTTTACTGCTGGTTAATTTAAATCAGAATCCAAACAAATCTGTCTGTTACATTTAGTTGATCTGTCTCTTAATATTTTTAATTTATAGATTTCTTTCTTTCCTCTTTTTCTTGTCATTTATCCTTTATAGAAGCCATATAATCTGTCCTGTAAAATTCCCTACACTCTCGGTTTGGCTGAATCTGTTTCTGTGGAGTTATTTAATGTTTTTCCACTTCCTATATTTCCTATAACCTAGTACTTGGATCTAGCAATGTGATCAGGCTCATATTCTATTTCTTTTACATATATATATTTATTGATTTCAGAGAGGAAGGGAGAGGGAAAGACAAACATCAATGATGAGAGAGAATCATTGATTGGCTGCCTCCTGCACGCCTCCTACTGGGGATCGAGCCCCACAACCCAGCATGTGCCCTTGACTGGAATCGAACCCAGGACCTTTCAGTCCACAGGCCGACGCTCTATCCACTGAGCCAAACCAACTAGGGCATCATATCCTATTTCTTTAACAAATATTTGTCATATACCTACTACATGCAAAGAGGTTATTGGTTGTATCATAGATCAACCACACAATACCTGGGCAGTTATCTATGTTTATAAGTCATCTTGCACATGTGCAGCCATGCTCACAAAAGTGGAGGGATGTCTATGATATGTTAAGTGAAAAAAGCAATATGCAAAATAATGTGTAGTGTAAGCCCTTAAAAAAACGTGTAAAGCCACTCAACCTATATACAGACTTGTTTGAAAATATATAGAGCCCTAGATGGTTTGGCTCAGTGGATAGAGCATCGGACTGCAGACTGAAGGGTCCCGGGTTTGATTCCGGTCAAGGGTACATGCCCGGGTTGCGGACTGGATCCCCAGTAGGGGGCGTACAGGAGGCAACTGTTCAATGATTCTCTCTCATCATTGATGTTTCTATCTCTCCCTCTCCCTTTCTCTCTGAAATCAATAAACCCTGGCATGTGCCCTGCCTGGGAATTTAACTGTGACCTTCTGGGTCATAGGTCAATGCTCAACCAATGATCCATGCCAGCTGGGCCACCATAGTAATTTAACTAACAAAATCTCCAATATATATATATTACTGTAAACCAGTCTCTTTGATTGTATTATATATTTTGTTTCAAGAGAAAAGATAATTTTAAGTCTTAATTTTAAATTATTTGTGTTGTCACTAATGTAAGTAAAGAATAATTATGTGAGAATAATGATGAATCTCTTACATTTTGGTATAAGTCTCTTGACAGTTTTATTTGAAGTTGAAAAAATTCACCATTTTTAAGTGTACAGTTCAGTAAGTTTTAACAAATGTTTATTGTGTAACCATCACCATAATACTAGAGATATAGAACATCTCTGTCACAATATTGGTGTAGATTTTAATTATGTTTATTAATTATAGATGTGAATTTCTTCAAAGTAAGAAGTCCTCAGAGGAAATTGCCCAGTATATTCAAAGCTACAAGGGATTTGTTGATGTCACGGTAATTTATAACAGCATTTCCCCCCCTCATGTTGGCTTTTGATTACCTAATAATATCTGAATTAGCAGAGGGTGGGCTTTCTTTCTTTTTTTGGGGGGGGGCGGTCATGAATTCTACTTTCTTATTCCCTTCTTTCCTACCCCAACTTCTCATCTGGCAGAATGAAGAAAATCTATTCCCTTGCTAAACTAGAGCCCTTAAAAGTCCTTTTTCCAGGACTGGCTTTTGATTGGCCAGTCTGCCTTCCTCATAGTCTTTCCCTCTTTGACTGAGGCCACCTCCCCTAGCTTCCCTTGGCTGCCCCGTCTGAATTCCTGTGTGAGATTTTGGGACCATGTCACTATCACCCTCAGAGGGCCTCAGTTACTGTCTCCTAGCTGGTTACTCTGTAACTATTAGTAAGGATTCCCTAATGGCAGGTCATAGAAAACCCAACCCAAATTGACTTAAGCAAAAAGGGGAATTTATTGGCTAACATGACTCAGAAGATGAGAACCCTGCAGGGAGAACTTGACCTGAAAGTGGGGGAGAAGTGTTTCCTGAGAAAGAAATTAAGTGCGGTTATCAGAGAAGGATCAGTTGCTTAATACCTAATGCCCTTCTCAATCTAGTTTCCTTCCTGTATTTCATACTTCCTCATTAGTCAAAGTACATCTGTGCTATCCACATGTAAATCAGCTTTGGAGCTAGATCTCTGGAAACAGCCACCCCAGAACTAGAAGACTTCCTGTTAGGTAGCAGCACTGCATAAAAAATTCCAACATTAATAGAAACAAATATTTAGAGAACAATCTCCAACAACCGTGCCACTCAGTCAATCCAGTGAAACTTTATGTGGGGGTGGGAGGAATTCTTTCAATTTTTATTCATAGATACGTGTATCCTCTAAGTCAAAGTCAAAATTTTCATTTTCTTCAGGGAGAACATTTTGTGAATTCCTGGGTCAAGAGAGATTTACCTATGGCATCAGGTAAACAGACATTTTTTTTTTTTAAGGGAAGAAACGTTAAAATTTTTAAAACGCAGACCTATTTCAAAGGCTTCGCTTGTTTATTTCTTTTTCTGTTTTTCTTTTGTCCTCACCCTTTTTTTAACTCTTCCATTTTCTTACTCATTTTATGGGGCACATGCCCAGGTTGCAGGCTCTATCCCCAGTGGGGGACATGCAGGAGGCAGCCGATCAGTGATTCTCTCTCATCATTGATGTTTCTATCTCTCTCTCTCCCTCTCCCTTCCTTTCTGAAATCAATAAAAAAATATATATTTTAAAAACAATGAAAATTTCTGGATAAAACATTTTTGAAAACATTCTTAAATGGATCTGTGTCTGTTATGAAATTAAACATGAAGTAATAGAAAAAATATATATAGTTCTCTGCCTTCAATTCCTTATACAGGGCTTCTAAAACCCTCATAATTTCCTAAGCGATAAGAGCACTAGGGGCGCCCTAACCGGTTTGGCTCAGTGGATAGAGCATTGGCCTGTGGACAGAGGGGTCCCAGGTTCGATTCCGGTTGGGGGCATGTACCTTGGTTGCGGGCACATCCCCAGTAGGGAGTGTGCAGGAGGCAGCTGATTGATGTTTCTCTCTCATCGATGTTTCTAACTCTCTATCACTCTCCCTCCCTCTCTGTAAAAAATCAATAAAATACATTAGAAAAAAAAAAAAGAGCACTAGGGGCATCTTTTGTTCGAATGAGGTGACTCTGGGTGGGCTCCTGGATGGGGGTTGGTCACTAGAAACAATGAAACCATGATTAGAAGCTTAGAATTCTCAGTCCTCCTCCTCCCCTTACCCCCCATTCTCCAGAGAGGGGAGTGGGGCTGGAAGTGGAATTAATAACATCTTCATGATGAAAATCCCAGTAGCACAGGGTTCAGAGAGCTTCCAGGTGGGTGACACATTCCAACTCCATGGGGTTGGAAGCCCCTGTTCTTGGGGCCCTCTCGGGACTCACCCTATCTCTTCATCTAGCTGTTCACCTGTATCTTCTATCAATCCCTTAATAGACTAGTAAACATAAGAAAGTGTTTCTGTGAGTTCTATGAGCCACTCGAGTAAATGAAGTGAAGTGGGGGCAGTCTTGTGGGACTGAGCTCTTAACCTGTGGGATCTGACACTGTCTCCAGGTAGAGGGAGTCAGAATTGAGTTAAATTGTAGGGCGTCTAGCTGGTCAGAGAAAACCACCACACATCTGGTGCCAGAGGTGTTGTGTAGTCTGAGAGTAAAGGAGACACCAGGAGGAAAAGACATATTTTTCCAATACATTAAACATAGGCGGATTAAAAATGAAGTGACAGCATGAATCCTGGGGTTGAGTGGAATGTCAAAGCAAGCTTTCATCTTTAGAAAATTCACAAAACCAAGTTAACGTAGATTTAAATTTTTTTTTTTTAATATGTCTTCATTGATTTCAGAGAGGAAAAGAGAGGGAAAGAGATAGAAACATCAGTGATGAGAGAGAATCATTGATTGGCTGCCTCCTGCACGTCCCCTACTGGGGATCAAGCCCACAACCCAGGCAGGTGCTCTTGATTGGAATCGAACCTGGGACCCTTAAGTCCGCAGGCTGACGTCTATCCACTGAGCCAAACCAGCTAGGGCCAGGTTTAAATTTTTTTAAAATTGATTTCAGAGAGGAAGGGAGAGGTAGAGAGAGATGGCAACATCAATGATGAGAGAGAATCATTGATCAGCACCCTCCTGCACACCCCCTACTGGGGATTGAGCCCACAATCTGGGCATGTGCCTATCCAGGAATCAAACCACGACCTCCTGGTTTATAGGTCGACCCTCAACCACTGATCCACACCGGCCGGGCAATGTAGGTTTAATTTTCAAGTCCTTATAGGGCACAGATGACAGGAACCAAACCCCAGAGCCCACCCAACATGAGAAAACTAATGAAGGCCATTGCATACAGTGGACACCCGAAAGGGCAAGAAATAAATCTACCTGCTCTTAAGGGAACTACAAGGAAAATTTGTCCTTCTTAACACTAAATTGTGAAGGAGGCATATCTTCTTTAGCTTTTTTGATTATTTTATTCTGATGCTAGATGATGAGATAATTTTAAAAGGTTTTATAATAGAAAATTTTGAACATATACAGAAATAAGATAGTATATACTCACCACTCTGCTTCAACAATTTAACACGTAGTCAATCTTGCTTCATCTAATTTTCTTCTTTTTAACCTCCCCCAATTATTCTGAAGCAAACTCCAAGCATCATATCATTCTGTCTGTAAATATGAAGTGATAACTTGAACCTGATAATTGCAATATTAAAACTTGCTGGTCTAACCATATGCCTTTTATTCAAGCTTTTTGCAATGACAGCATCTTTGCTAATGAAGAACTACGACTGGAGTCTTTTAAGAAATGGCCCCATGCATTTCCTGGGGGCGCTGCAGCTCTGGCCAAAGCAGGTCTTTTCTACATAGGTGAGTCAGTAGTTGGCATAGCCTCTTGCCTTGCTGCTCATTCAAGCCCCATATACACTTAATGACCCTGGATTTATATTTATCTAGTCTCAACAATCTCCACTCTTCTAGTCTTTCCTTATATATCCTTTTTCCTTGCTATGTCAGAAAACCTCTCCCAGTTTTCTACAACTAACTTAGGTAGAGAAGCTCCAAATTGAAGCCTTAAGAACTTGACTAACAATGAATACAAGTACATGTATCCTCTACTTTTGGAAAGTTAGTTTTATGCCACTTTGTTTTTATGAAAGATATATACATGAGTAAAGGTAGACCTTGGAGATACTGCAGGTTCAGTTCCAGACCACTGCAATAAAGCAACTATCACAACACTGGAGTCATAATCCATTTGCTGATGGAGGGTATTTGCAGAAAATGTAATATCTGTGAAGCACATGAAAGCAAAGCACAATAAAACTGTCACATGACCCTTTTGCTTCTACCTCTTTAACCAGAACTTAGTATGGCCATACTAGCTATAAGAGAAGCTGGCACATTCAATCATTTTCCTGGGTGGTAAACACAGTTAAAATTTGGGGTTTCTGTTACTGTGGAATGAGCGATATTGGGAGAGTGGAGAAGCAGTCTTAAACACTCTCCTCAGACGCAAAAAAATCAAAAAATACTTTGTTGTTGTTAATCCTCACCTGAGGATATTTTTTTCCCAATGATTTTTAGAGAGAGTGAAAGGGAGGGAGGGAGAGAAAGAGAGAAATAGAGACACATCAATTGGTTGCCTCCCAGATACACCTGGATCAGGGCTGGGGATTGAGCCTGCAACCTGCAACCAAGGCATGTGTCCTTGACCGGAATTGAACCCAGGACCCTTCAGTCTGCAGGTGGACGCTCTATCCGCTGGGTTGGTGTCCAGTTAGGGTCATAGCATTCTCTTTAGCTTCTGGTCATCAGGAAGTTCCCCTCTGTAATCCACAACTAGTAGGCTTGTTCCCTTTAGCTAACTGCCTGAGGTACAGTAGGGATCAGAGAAAGGATATTGTGCCCTGCCTTGGTCCTTGCTGGCCTTCTTCAGACAAATTGAGCAACGTTGCAGCCCTGTGTAAGTTCATGAAGCATCAAATGCCTATTACTACATTATTGCCAGGTTTATGCCACTAGAAGTAGGATCAAGTCTCCTTGTGAGACACACAAATTGAGTTACAGTGGAGGTCCATGCAAATCTTTTACTGAGAGGTCAAGTAGATGTCACAAATTTCACACAGCAGTACAGAGTAGGGGAATATAGCGGTCACTTTAACAAAAATATTCCGTGGTACAAAATATCTTAATGGCTCACAAGCTTAAGCATTTGGAAAGGCAGTGTCCCTACTCTCTCTATTCTGGCTTCCTCTTGGCAGCTTCCTCCAAATACCCTCTGTCCAGTGTCCTCATCCTCTTTCTTTTTGACCCTCCACCTCTCCCCACAAATCCTAATCCTCTGACCCTCTAAGAGTCTTGAAAGCTCTAGGACCTCTTATTTTCATGCAGACATAAAGGGAGGGTCTCCTCTGCCCTAGCTTTACCATGCCGACAGAGGTCCAAGAGTGGAAGATGATAGTTGTTCCATTTCTACTTCAATCCTTTGGCAGATTCAAATGCTAGTTTCCTTCCTAAGAAATATAGTCTCACAAGGAGACTTGATCCTACTTCTAGTGGCATAAACCTGGCAATAATGTAGTAATAGGCATTTGATGCTTCATGAACTTACACAGGGCTGCAACATTGCTCAATCTCCCCTTCCCCTGAACTCCATATGTATTTTCTCTTATTTAATCACTAGACAAATGCTTATAGAGTGCTTAATAAGTGCTAGGCACTCTTCAAGTCCATGAGATTCATTGGGGAGCAAAACAGACAAAAGTCTTTTCCTTCATGGAGCTTTAATGCATACACTGATTTGCACATCCCCTGCTCCATAGGAGGATGGGACAGGGAAAGGGTGTTCATCAAAGTGCATGCCACATGGAGGCATCCATGACTATTTGCTCATTACCCCTTTGGTCCTGTATAGAATATTGCCCCAACTTGTGACTTTGTCACAAAATTTGATTGGAAATACAAGTAGGGTTTTGCTTATAAAGGCCTGGTAGTTATTACCTGTGTCACTTGAGAAATACACATGCCAGTTACACTGATTGAATTTCTTTGCATCTAGGTATAGAGGACACCGTCCAGTGTTTTTCCTGTGGAGGATGTATGAACAACTGGGTGGAAGGTGATGACCCATTAGGAGATCATTCCAAATATTTTCCTGAGTGAGTGGAATGGATGCTTAGTGTCTGTGAATTTGGATATACTTTAAAACAATTTGTCCCTCGCTTTTCCCTGCATTTTCTTATTAAATATTTGCTCAACCCTCTGATTGCTACTCTGAAGAATGAGTATCTCTTATCCCCTTATTCTCATGACACCCTTTCCATTAGCATTTCCTTTATTATAGTTATAGCATAGTTTTGGTGAGATCAATATTTTTACATTATATGTTTACTTATCATGACTGCAGAACCGAACCTGTAGTAAATTATTATTTTGCCTCTCTGTACAAATTTTAATTTTTGTAGAAAATAAAATTGTCTTGTTAGTAGTTTAATTTTTAAAATGAAATTCATACATTAACCACTTTAAAGTGCGCAATCTAGTAGTATTTAGTACATTCACAATGTTGTGCAACCACTTCCTCTAATTCCATTTTCATTACCCCAAAAGAAAACTGTACCCATTAAGTAGTCACTCCCTATCTTCCCACCCCATCCTAGTCTAGCTCCTTAGAGCTACCAATATACTTTCTGTCTTCCAGAAATAAGTACAGATTTACTTATTCTGGATATTTTATATAAATGGAAACATACAATATGACTTTTGTGTCTGGCTTCTTTCACTTAGCATAATATATTGAGGTTCATCCATGTTGTAGCATGTATCAGTACTTCATTTCTTTTTTTTATGACAGAGTTATATATATTTCTCCATATTCTCACCAATACTTTTCTTTAACTATAGTATTTGGTTAGGTATTTTTTTTTTTATGTCTTGAGGACCAGTTTATCATCAAATTCACCCAGATGTTTAAATCTTCTCTCTAGTCATTCAGAACTATAAGCATTTCCATCATTTTCATTTTCTT